ATAACATACATCTATTTTTATTTGGTCTAACGTATTATATTCAAATTAATTTTTTCGATGATATAGGCGATAGATGATCCATAATAACTTTTTTTCTTTTTTCTTTTACATATTTAAACCTGAAATTTGTTTAAGGGAGGACAAACTCTGTTCACTATCTTCAAGAAATGCTGGTAAATATATACTCATTCCTTAAAATAGTGCACTTCTTGCACAAATGATAATTTCCTTGAATCCATATCAATGGCGCAAAATAAATAATGTGAATGGGATTAATTATGACAATAGTTACTTTCTTTATCTGTTCCAATAAAAGAGTATTGTTTGACAGATACATATATTTTTTTAGATGTGTAGAGGTGGAAATACAATCCAAAGAACTGGTCAATTATCCTCATACAGCTACTGACCAAGTTTTAGTTGCAAACGTTCAATTCCATGGATGAACTCCATACCTAATACCTTACATGAATTATTCTCCAACTTGTTACTATTTTCGATCTTACGTCTTTCTCATGTTTGGGCATATCTAGTTGCAATTAAATTGACCTTCTTTTTCAATGTTTTTGGAAGGATTTCAATAATGCAGCCTTAAGGTTCTTGACAGCTAAACCATTCGGTTGCCAACTTCCAATCTTAGGAACACACTAAATAAGAAAAAATTCTTCTTCTGCGTAATTATTCAGTGCAACTGTTATAATATACATATTTTAAATCCAGTATATTTCATTATCCATCTCTCGAAATATTCGAAGCTCTCTCGCAGATGTACTGATTATACATCTTATATGGTGCGTCAGAAAAGATTGGAAACCCTTTTATTTGATATCCATAATCTTTCAAAAGATAAAACTATATATCCCTATGTCCCAAAATTATTATCTTGTTTGAGATTTCACTTTTAGTATGATTTGAACTGGAAATGAAAACTCAAACTGAATAATAATTATGGGACGGAGGGAGTATATATATTCATTTTTTAGGCGGGTGAATAAAGAGTATTTCTTTTTTTCTACAATAATAATAAGATTTAACAGTGTATCGAAAGGAATCAAACTCGCAGCTACAAAACATATCAAAGCTTTTGGCTAGCTATTTTATTCGTTTAGGGAAGAGAAAAAAAAAAAAAAAAGCCCTGAAAGAAAAAGCAAGAAAGTGAGAAGAAGGATCCAATAAGTCAATCAACGAGACAAATTCAATTGGCAGTAGGTTTTACTAATTAAGAATCAATGTTTGACCGTGGACGAAGTTGGTGACCTTGAAGAATCTTGTATAATACTCGTTCATACACTATACAAGTCAATCATTTGAAGAACACTAATACTATCTCTTGGATCTTTTACGTCAAGATTTTATTTTTTTTAATTTATATAAGAAGATTCCACTATGAATTAATTAGGAGACATTGATTAACTAATTAAGTATATATATCGATCATCATTTTCTATATTTGGGGGAGAAAGAATCAACTTTTGCATACGAGGAATGAGTTTCTTAAGCAAATAAACAGCAACGAATATGATTAATCTAAAATGAATAACAGATTTTTTTTATTTTTTTATTTTTTATTTTTTACCAATTCTCATTTAACTGTCAATTTTTCTTATTAAAGTTGTAGTTGAAGAATGCTACTCTTTCTTCTGTTCAGAAGTATTTGTTTTGATTGTTGTATAACAAAATTAGAACAATTATTCTGAGATACGTAATGGAGTACATTATTTTTATTTTCTTCTTCGTTTTCTGTTTTCTTGGATCTAATGAACTAGTACATTATAAATGACTTGTGAATAAAGGCAATCAATTTAAGGGAGCAAAACGAAAAATAATGCCTATTGGTCAAAAGGTTTTAGGGCTTTGATTTTTAAAGACCAAGATCATTGCAGTTACTCTACTTTTTGCTATTTAAGTTGCGTTAATTCTACTACAAAGTTAGCTTCTGAACAAATCTTTCTATGCAACAGTCATTAGTTACCAGTCAACATATATATAATTATACCATGTTGGCTTCATTATGATCTAACTTTGTGATGCATTTGCAATCAAGTACTACTTGAGAAATGTGTCACAATATTTATTATAATTAAATCTATCCATTTACACTAAATAAAACAACTTCTGGAGGAACTGAGACCGAAAAACAAAATTACCAAAAAAAAAAAAAAATCTGGATGAAGATTCTCTTTTCTCATAGAGAAGCTAAGAACTGACATTAGAAGACAAATTAGTTATGTCAAAAAAGAGAAAGAAAGAAGACAAATCCGTTTTGGAAGGCATTTTCCCGAAATTGATCTACAAAATTAGGGTTTTTTTTTTAACAAAAAATTGTTTAACTACAATGAAAGAGACTAATCCCTGAAAATAGTAAATCATTACAAAATTAGCTTGAACATGAATTATGTGATCAATTCTCGTTTAAAATTTATCACAATTTTTGTATATATTAAAAAAAAAAAGGTCTTACGGTACTAAATAATTACAGTAAACGTGCTGTTTATTTTGACTACATCTTGGAAAGAAGAATTCCCTTGACTTGTGTTGATAAATTATGATTGAAGGTGATCATAAAGTAGCCATCAATAATTTTTTTTATTCTATTTTATACTAAGTAGTTAAAAGTGCTAGTATATATGTAGAATTTTCTTAAAGCAAGATAGTAATCTAAGTACTACTTGATTTTCATGAATAGTAAATTGACGTATTCTATGTGACAAGTGTAACAAATAAAATAAAATAAAATAAAAAATACGCATAAAAACCTCATTCTTGTGCGTCCAACTTCTTACATCTACAGTTAGTATTTTTAAGGGCAGAATGACTAAAATGTCCTACGTATCTTCAAATTCAGGAATCAGGATACACAGATACTTTTTCTTAAAAAAAAAGAAAATAATACGAATATCATCTGAATTTGTGAAATCTTTTTCAATACATAGAAATGACTTTGAAAGATAACGTGAAAGTATTTGACGAATAAACTCACGAAATTAAATAACATTCATTTATTTGTCAAGCGTCGTTTAAAAAATGTATGTACATCAAGAATACGATTATATTCAAGACTTTATATCAAAAAAAAAATTATTATGTATTTTTGACAACAAAAATGTAAAAAAGAAAATTAAAAGAAAAAACACTTTTAGAAGGTGTTTATCAAATGCCCTAATTTTAAAAGGAAATTTGCAGTGGTGCCAACTGCCAAGTTGATTTGGCATCTAGAAGTGGCTGACCAAATGTAGCCACCCGCCAATCATGGCTTTCCACGTTGCTGCATCATTTGATTGACGGCAGCCGTCTTTGTTAACCGTTAACGCATCATCAACACTGGAAATATGTTTACACCTAAATTCTGGCTGCAAAACGTTGACTTTGGTTTATGTGAAATGACGCTCATGTCCTCGTATTAATTATTCGAGAGAAAACTATTTTTTATTTAATTATTCCTTCCAACACTTTACCATCTCATCTAAAAATGATCCATTCGATAGGAGTATAAAACAGTTTATCATTTGCTCTAACATTCACTCACTCTCTTATATTACTTGACCGTGGGCTTTCGTTTTAAAATTGGATGATAAAACTAGATACTTAACCTGGTCCATAAAAATAATTTATATTATAATTTTTGACACAATCTATGACAAGGAATATTTTTATACGATGGAGAAAATATTATATACTTCCTTCGGTTTTATTATAATGCATTTTGATTTCGTCCTATATTTAACGTAGGATATCTTTTTAATTGAAAAAAAATTTTAAAAATTCATTTTCACATTCATTGTGTTCTCCTCATTATTATGAAATGTTTTTAAAAATTAAACCTTGAACGAAATCAAAATGTCTTATAATAAGGACCGGAGGAAGTACGTTATTGTCTGTTGGGTCATGATTGAGATTCTTTTATATCCTTCCCATAAAACGTAAATTAAAAAGAATTATTAGTTTCGATTATTCCATAAGAAGTATCAAATGTACATCAGATAGGATTTACATCATTTCTAACATCTATGGCGATACGTTAGATGGAATCCTTCTGCAAAATTGAATGTCCTTAACCCAAACAATAAAAGTTTTCTTACTAATCTTCACATGATATTATTAAAATACTATCAATTTCTTCCTAATAATATATTTCGATAAAAAAATAGTAATATTATGTTTACTACGTACATGATCTAGCAGATACTGAGTTACGTACATTGAAACAACACGCAGAGTACACACGGCAAACAAACAAATCATTGTCCTGAAACAAAAGAAAGATTAGTTGGAATTGGAAGGCGAAATTATAAGACGACTTGATACAGTTGCGCAGATTAAATTCATTAATTTCAGTTTTTCTTTTCTTTTTTTTTCCCATATGGATGCTTCTCTTTCCGGAAAGAATCAAAGTGTCCAAATTAAATTGGTTTGAAAATGGCCACCACAAGTCTCGGAGGAGGGTCAACTAATTCTAGAATGGTGACCCATAATTCAAACTTGTTGCATCTCCTACTTAACATAATTGACAAAGCATGAGAATAAATTAGTCAGCAAAGGAGGGGCAATAGGGTAATATGCCAAAATGAAATAATTTGGCCTTTTCATAACAAGATTATCTGTCATAATTTTAATGTTATTATATTTTTCATAATTCAACATGTAGGTGTAGTGACGAAATTCTAGAATATAATGTAACGAGATCTTTTTCTAAAAGTGAAACTTCTTTAACTAATTTATATTCAAACCTCTGATAGAATTCTTTCTAAGAACTAAAACTCACATATTTATGACTTGGACTGAATGCTTGTTGGTTGTAAATAAATAAAAAAAAAAAGCTAAACAAAAAATATCACCGAATATCTATTTGCTTGTTTGCTCATAGAAAACTAATTTGTAGTAAAATATTGTGGTCTTATAGGACAAAAAATGGAAAAACAAAAGCAGCCTTTTTATTATAATCTATAATTATTAATGTTTAATCACTTTTGTTCTTTGTTTTGTTTTTTTATTTTTTGTACCAAACTTTGAAAGGGAGGAAGGAGGGATTTCTCGAGGAAATGAAAATGTCTTTGACTTTTCTGTCTATATCGGACTCCGTCCTTCCTCTTCACACGCTAAAAATTCTTCTTCTCATCCTTTTCTTCCCTTCCTTTATCCCTTAAATATATCATCACCTCTCTCCTCAGTGTTCCCATTTTTATCTCTGTTCATATCTCGAAAGTTTCACTGGAAAGTTGCACGTTTTTTGGAAAGCCTTTTCGTAATTTCCAGCCATAACTTTTTATCATATTTTTCTCCAAAAAATAAAAATTCAATAGTGTTTTGATTGAGGTTTTTGTCATCCGGTTTCTACCTGAAAAAGCTGGAATTCAATTGGGTTTTGCGGAATCTTCAATTCCCGTGGTGGGTTTTTGGGCTCGTCAATTTTTGAGTCTGAAAGATCAATTTTTTGTTTTTTTTCCTTCTCGTCTTATTGATTCTCAGCTACCCTTTTTTGAAAAGACGAAGATTTTGATCGGGTTTGAGTTTGACCATCACTTTGCTGCAATTCGACTGACCGAATTGGCTGAATTATCGACAATAAGGCTTCAGGGTTGGTGGTTTGATTGAGAAAAGTTTATTAGCCTTTATTTTACGGTCATATTACAGAGGAGGGAGGTGAGGTTCCCTCCGTTTTGGGTCACTGTTAATATTGTGGCACTGTGGCTCGGAGAAAAGGAAAGTTAAGTTTTTCTTTGAAGGTTTGATCTTATGGGGAATTGTTGTGCCGTACCGAAAACATCTGATTTTGAAGTGAAGAAAAAGGGGAAAAATAAGCCTAATCCGTTTTCTATTGAATACCCTGGAAACCATGCAACTGGTAATGGTGGGTACAAGTCTTACGTGTTGGATAATCCAACAGGGCATGAAATTGAGCAGACATATGAGTTAGGGAAAGAGCTCGGCCGGGGTGAATTTGGGGTTACTTATTTGGCTACTGAAAAAGCAACTGGAGAACTCTATGCTTGCAAGTCAATATCAAAGAAGAAGCTGAGGACTAGAGTAGATATTGAGGATGTTAGGAGAGAGGTTGATATCATGAGGCATTTGCCTAGACATCCTAATATTGTGAGCTTGAAGGATACTTATGAGGATGATCACGCGGTCCACCTAGTTATGGAGTTGTGTGAGGGTGGTGAATTGTTTGACCGGATTGTTGCTAGGGGTCATTACACTGAAAGAGCTGCTGCAGCTGTGACTCGCACTATTGTTGAAGTCATTCAGGTGAAGATCTATATTTCTTGTCCTTGCCTTTGTGTTTTCGGGTATATTGTGCATGTTTGTTAGATATTTTCTATATAGATCTTGTGATTTCTGTTAGATGTTGATTGGTTCTGGAAAATATCACTATAGTTAGTTTTATGATGTAATAACCAATATTAAAGCATATAGCTTTACGAGCTTGAAGGACAGGGAGGCTACTGATTTGCGGAAGTAACATCAACAACTTATAAGAGCCCATAATAATAGCTTGTTTACATTTTGGAAGTGAGGATATTTCTGGCTCCTATATATGATCAGCTGGTTGTCGACTTCTTTTGAGCCTGTTCATACTTTTAGCTATGCTGAGGTTTATTAATGCCTCCTGGGCATCCTAAATTTCTAATTGTTATTTTGTTTCCTTGGGAATTAACTTCCTTGGAATTTCTGATGGTTCCTTGTGCTTAAACATTGATTTATTGTTTCTTTGCGCCGGTTCATAAAAAAAAAAAAAAAGTGCCATGAATATTATAATTGAGTTTCCTCGTTGGTGCCATGCTTTTTGCTGCAATGCTATCTGAATCAGTATTAACTTTCTTGTTTTTGGCATACAGTAGCTTTCAGTCAAAACTCTGTTGCTAATTGTTCCACGTTTTGTTGCAGATGTGCCATAAACATGGGGTTATGCACCGTGATCTTAAGCCTGAAAATTTCTTGTTTGGAAACAAGAAAGAAACTGCACCATTGAAGGCCATTGATTTTGGGTTGTCTGTGTTCTTTAAGCCTGGTATGTTTTTATCAGCTTTTTTATAATAATTTTACCTTCCAAGGTATGTAGTAGGTCATTGACTAAGGTTACACTCTTTCTGCTATATTTTCAGGTGAGAGGTTTAATGAGATTGTTGGAAGTCCCTATTACATGGCTCCTGAAGTGCTGAAGAGGAACTATGGACCAGAAGTGGATGTATGGAGTGCTGGTGTGATCCTCTACATTTTACTCTGTGGTGTTCCCCCATTTTGGGCAGGTAAGGTCTTCATGTTGAAAATGTTTTTTCTTTTATTTTGTTCTATATGTTTCTACTTCTTTCGATTTAGACAGTTTTGTTCATATGCATTACTCTAATCATCACATTTGGGTAAGCTTTCTAAATCTTGAACATTCTGTGCTCTTCAGAAACTGAGCAAGGAGTTGCCCAAGCTATCATTAGATCTGTTGTTGATTTCAAGAGAGACCCCTGGCCAAAGGTATCAGATGGTGCAAAAGACCTTGTTAAGAAAATGCTCAACCCTGACCCCAAGCAGCGACTCTCTGCTCAGGAAGTTCTAGGTATCGCACATGATTTCAAATATAAGAGGATTGTTAATGTTTCTTATGCAGTATTAGGCAGATCAGAATTCTGATTACATAAAGTGATGACTTATTTTTTGCAGATCATCCTTGGTTACAAAATGCAAAGAAAGCTCCTAATGTTTCTCTTGGTGAAACTGTGCGGGCAAGGCTCAAGCAATTTTCTGTGATGAACAAATTGAAGAAAAGGGCTTTAAGGGTAATGTCGGAATAAATTGATGAAGAAAAGTGATCTCCGTTTTGTGTGCATTGTAATACTCTTTTGCTTATGTCCCTTTTGTAACTGTGTGCTGACATAATTTCAAACTGCAGGTCATTGCAGAACATTTGTCTGTAGAGGAAGTTGCTGGCATCAAGGAAGGATTCCGGGTGATGGATACAAGTAATAAAGGGAAGATTGATATTAATGAGTTGAGAGCTGGGTTGACGAAGCTTGGGCACCAGATGCCTGAAGCAGATCTTCAAATTTTGATGGAAGCTGTAAGTGACAGTTCCAGAAGATCTAAGTTTTATCTTTTGTCTGGCATGATTGGTGCATGGAATTAATTTGACTACTATTTCACAGGGTGATGTTGACAACGATGGATATTTGGATTATGGGGAGTTTGTGGCAATCTCTGTCCACCTGAAAAAGATGGGTAATGATGATGACCACCTCAAAAAAGCCTTTGACTTCTTTGATAGAAACCAAACTGGGTTTATAGAGATAGAAGAGCTAAGAGATGCCTTAGCTGATACTGATGACGTTGATGCAAACATTGAGGAAGTAATCAAGGCTATAATCCACGATGTAGATACTGACAAGGTTGGTCATCCCTTTAAGCTTCTTTTTTTTCTTTTTTTTTTATTTTCTTTTCTATTGTTCTCTCCTTTTCCGTTTTTGTTTGTCTATTTTTTTCCTTTCCCTTTGCAAGTTTGCTTTTTTGGTTCTCTTTTGAAATCTGTTTTTTCCATTATTCTTGATGAGTGTATGTGCTGGTGGTTTCACACATTATTGACATATTGTGTTCAATAGCTATGATTCATGACTCTCAGTGGGCTAATGGTTTTTGAATGCATTCAAGTCGAAGACCCTAGATTTGAGCTCTATTTTTTAGATGGGGTTCCGACTGAATTAACATCTAATCTTTTGCTCATGTATTTTTGAAAGATGCTAGCTTGTAGCTCTAAAATTTCTGCCTTTATAATTTGATCTTCTGTGTTGTATCAATCGTCTTGAGTAAATTTACAACTTGTTCTGAAGAGGTTGTATGTGCTGTGAATTCTTGCACTTGAATTCAATGTCTTTCCCATGTAGGAGTGGTCGAACAGGTGTACTCTTTGGGCTCATGTTTTATTCTATATTATATTGCAGGATGGAAGAATTAGTTACGAGGAATTTGCAACTATGATGAAAGCAGGCACAGACTGGAGAAAGGCATCAAGACAGTACTCCCGAGAACGATATAACAATCTGAGCTTGAAATTGTTGAAGGATGGATCAATAAAAGTGACCATGTGAGGGGAGATAACTCAAGATAGGAGATGACATATTCTACTCCCCATTTTTTACCATCATAAACGAGAGTGTAAAATACAATACGATGTGTTCAGCTATTGGTGTAATCTTGCCATTTTTGACATGTTTTCTCTGGTCTCCAACCTTACTGTGCAAGAAGTCCGTCCTGTGAAGAAGGGTATCAGTGACTGGGTTTTGAGGTTGACAAGGTCTTTCTTGCATATTGTAATTTGTTATTCTTTTGTATCTTTGGGTGGTAGGAAATGTGGTGAAGAAAGAAGGGTCATGAAATTGTCCAGTCCCCTTGTAAATATTCTGTTCATACAGTTCAAGTCGATCAATGCTAAAGCTTTTGATCGTCTCATTTGGAATGTATGATTTTACCCTTTTGTGTGCAAATTAAGATCGAGTTTTAACAAATCAAGGCTAACTCAACTTTTACTTGAAATCCACTCTCAACCTTTATATGATCCCACGCAAAAATCATCCGCCACATTCATAATCTCGAGCTTGGGCTGCTGTTGTAGGGGGGTGTTCCAGCAAGCTCCTCCGCACCTGAAGAGCTAGTTTCTGGGTGTGCTAAATAGACTTTTCTCCATAGGTGCATCAACCTGGGCGCAGCCAAACCCTGTGCCCTGCATGGAGCAGTCAGCCAAACGAGTTTCCCATACTTTCTCACCTTATTGGTTGAAAAGTCACCAAATTGAAGCTCACATCACCATCCAATCACAGCATTGATTTCCGGAAGGCCCCTAGTTTATTCCTACACGCTACGCCTGGGAAGTATTTGTGACTGCATTCAAGGGCTTGTCACAAATGCAGACTTCTCCTTGTATAATTAATTTGCCAAGATGTACTGGTGCTGATGGAGCCTACACTATGGTGGATAAAGTCCATGGAAGCGGGGAACTATGCCTGTGCTGCTGCTTTCTCAGAATGGATTCAAACAGCCTGATGATAGAATGAGCCACCAACAAGATCTGGCAGAACGTATGTTGGTCACAAATATGTCGCGGGAGTTCTATGCATGGTTCTTCCAAAAATGTGTGTATAGCTTGGATGCAGGGTTGGACTCATAGCTTATAATGTTGGAAGTGGAATGCTTCGACTGATTTAGGTCCTTAACTCTTTTACCAACTGCTAAATGTTGTCAAATTAATCAGATCGCGTACTTTCAGTTGTATTTTCAGGAGAGATGTATATCTGGAACAATATGCTATGACTTCAGCTAATATTCTTCAGATTTTATAGTATAGTTTTTTCATAAGGAGGGAATGGGACTTGTCTGGCTTAAAAGTTAATCAGCGAAATCTGTTTCATTTGCCATTAATATTTCAATCAGAGATAGTACGTTCTAATTTTCGAAACATTATGAAGAAATGTGGAGCCACATTTTTCTCATTTACTGGTGGATGATACTGTGATCATCTTTGAGAAGATACATGTTTAGAGCCGTTAAAGTGGAAACATCCACAGAAACATGATTAAACAGGTTTGTTTAAGAGGATTCGAGCTCTTATATAAATACGTTCAAGCACAATATAACAGAGAGTTCACACATCCCTTCTTATTTTCATGGATGAAACCAATCAAGTTCTCACCTGCTCTGTATCCAAAATTATATTTGTACTTTTCTGTTGAATTAGATATATCATCCACTCCAAAAGTGGGGCGGTTTATACTTGTTTCTTTAATCCAAAAATGAAAAATTGTATGACCTTTGAAATGTGATTAACCCACTTGCATCTTCATCCTGCTGAGCTTTAATTTGTAATATACTTTACGTTTTCTTATAGCTTTGATAGCATGCATTTTACTGAAGTCTTCAAAGTAGGTTTTCTTTTATATACTAGTTAAATGCCAAAAGACATGAGCAGTGTTCATGGGCCTACTGAGTTTTATTTGTTTCATAATTTGTACTAGGGGTGTTCACGGTCCAGTTTGGTCTGAGTTTGGACAAAATCGTGATTAAATCGATAGAAAACAGTTTTAAATATTCAAAACCGAAACCAAACCAATAATATTTTCAAGTCGGACCAATCCAAACCAGATGAAACGGTTTGGTTTGGACGATTTAATGGCTTAAGCCTAAATTTGGGCCTCTTACTTTTTAGACCCACAAATTGGTCTTTTTTTGGATGTTATTTGGAATCTTGAAAGTTATTTGGGTCACAATTGACCCTTTCTTGAAAAAAGAATAAAAAACATGTATAAATGAGTGGGAGGGGATTCAAACCTGCACCATTCCCTCCACATTACACATGCATAGCATGTTGTGCCACTTACCAATTTGTTGAAAGTTATAGTCTGTAAAAAATATCTATGAAAAAAAAACATAAGTTATATACACGGTCCGGTCCGGATTGAGCACCAGTTTAAATATTCCAAATCGAGACCGAACTGTTTCTTTGCGGTTTATAACTTTTGAAACCGCCGGATTAAAATGACAAATGAAAATCACCCATAAAACCGAACTGTCGGCCGTTTTGGGCGGATTGAACGAATTGAACCAAACCATGATCACCCCTAATTTGTACCAACTCTAAGCAGCAAGTAGCAAAGAAGCTTGGGATGAGACAAAGTATTCGCCAGCAATCTCTACGTTGTAAAGTTATTGGACTAAACAGGTTAACTATAAGTATTTGTCCAAAGTATACATTCTTAACTAAAATATTTGTCCAGCTCGAATCCGCATTATGGGAAAAAAAAAAAAAAAGGCTTCCTTTGAATCCAGTTCCTCTTGTTCATCCAAACTCTTGACGTTGTTTTTTGCTCGCATCCAATCCATCATCCCTCTTTCCTATTGATGTTGATCAATCTTCCTTGTTCTTTCAGTTCCTTCTGGTAACCTTCTTTGATTCGTTTTGCCAGTCGGATCATACATATCCTTTTTTATTTTTTTCTCTCCGGGAAGAATAAGATGTCCTCGGGACTCATTGCTTGTATTGATTCTGTCTTACATGATATAGGGTTGTTGTTAGATTATGTTCCTTTTTTCGCCGATACTATAGTTTTTCAGATGGTTGGATTTAAGCTAAACAGCCTCAAAACATTTGTTCTTCTTTTTTCCGGAAAGTCAGCAGACAACTATACAAGTCTTGGATCATTATTCTCAAGGATTGAAGCTATGATTCGCAGATATGCAGAGCAAATTCACCCTCACTGTCCGGATTTCGATGGCGAACCCACCGGCTCGCTTACAAATACGGTTGATGAGTTCGCAGGAGAGATACAGTCTCTCGAGGAAGAAATACAGGAACAGTGCATCAGTATGTTAGAACACCCGCAACAATCAACTTCTCTAACCACAGATCAGGCCTTGGAAGTCATTACTTCTATTTTGGAGAATGTTTTGGAGATGAGATCCTTCTTTTTGCATGCTCTAATTCAACAGGATCCTCATAACCCTGTTCATTTCTTGGGGGATTTAGTAAAAGCTATGGAAGACTTGGAAGAGGAGCTGACCTTCTTGAAAAGTCTCATCCGCTTTACTGCACAGAGAAGAGTAGTTGAACTAGCACAAGATCTGTTTGGCCACGCTGCGGACATTTCCATCAGATATGTCCTCTCCGATTTGAACGAAGGGCAGTTTAAAATTTCTACTCTAGCACAAGAGATGAAGCCTATCGATCCTCAAGTCTTTAGGACCTACACTCAAGCCCTGAGTATCCTAAAGTCTGATCATACTCAAGAAGAAATGGTTGATACCACCATTATTGCAATGAATGACATCCTTCATTATCTCATATCTAAATCTCTGGGAGATGCTTCAATGGAATGCTTATTCTCATGTGGTTTCAGTGAAAGATGAACTGCGATAGCTATATGAAAGACTTAAATCATTGAGAACCATTCTCATGCAGCAGCCTAAGCACTTTAGTCTCAGAGTTTCGGAACAAATCGGAGACGTGATATGCGATGCTGGAGTCTTAGTGTGGTCATTTTACCAGAATAATGCACAAGAAGAGTTTGGACTTCAGGACTTGTTAGAAACAATCAAGAAGATTCTGGTAGAAGACGACGAGGAACACCCACAAACACCACCAACAGTCAAGTTCCCGATGACTGATCCGTTGGGTTTTGTCGATTTTGTTGTGGAAACACTGATGGATCCACCAAGTGTAGAAGTTGGAACAACTGCCAAGAGTCATATTCAAACAATCCAAGAGGGACTCTTCTTCCTGAAATCTTTCTTGAAAGAAATTGTGGAGTTGTGGTAGAGTGCCTCATTGACAGCCTGGGGGTTGGTGATTTTCCGCTTTCATTGTTTGCATCCATCATCGAAAGCATTCAGAATATTAAGGCGGATGGCTTGGGGGTTTTTCGTGGCAACAAACAAGAAATCACAGCCAAGGAAGTCATTAGCACTTCTAGTCATCAGGCATCACCACAGAGACCTCCTTCAACATCAGAAGTTGTTGGTCTTGATTATGAGACCGGATTAATTAAGGACCGACTGATGGGCGGATCTAAGAAGTTGCAGATAGTTGCCATTGTGGGTATGCCAGGATTAGGTAAGTCCACATTAGCTGCTAAAGTTTATAATGATAGTTCTGTTTCACACCATTTTCATGTTCGTGCGTGGTCTCCTATCTCGCAAATGTTAGACAAGAAGAAAGTGTTAATTGAGCTCTTACAACAAGTTGATCCTTATAGATATCCGGACATGAGTGAACACGATTTAGCAAACCGTCTGAGACGCAGGTTAAAAAGAAGAAGGTATCTCATCTTTTTGGATGAAGTATGGGAGACTGAAGCATGGAATCATTTGAAAGAATCCTTCCCTAATGATGATGTTGGAAGTAGACTTATTATCACAAGCCGTCATCATGATGCTGCTCCTCACCATATGCTTGACTCGGAACCTTATGTTCTCAATCATCTCAATGAAGAAAGAGCCTGGAGTTATTGCAACTGAAGTTGTTCCATGGTGATGGTTGGCCTCCTGAGTTACATAATCTTGGGATGCAAATTGTTCAAAATTCTAGGGGCTTACCTTTAACAATAGTCATCACAGCTGGACTTCTAGCAGCTGCAGAGTCAGGAGATTGGATGAAAATCTTAGATGACTTAAGCTCAGCCATTGTGTCAAGGACAGAATAGTGCTGGAACACATTGGAGCTCAGTTATAAATATTTACCAGAATGTTTAAAGCCGTGCCTCCTATTTTTTGCGGTATTTCCAGAGGATCAAGAGGTTTCAGTCAGGAAGTTGCTTTGTTTATGGATGGCTGAAGGATTCATTCAGAAATCTAAGATAAAGAACCTAGCAGATGTTGCTGAAGATTATTTGAAAGATTTGATTGCCAGAAGCTTAATCATGATCGGCACAAAAAGATTTGTTGATGGAGGAGTTAAAGCATGTCGTATTCATGACTTGCTTCATGATTTTTGTTTACAAAAAGCCAAGGATGAATTCTTTGTTCACTTACCAAAAGGGTGTCACGAGCTTTCTGCATTTAACGAGCCTCCCAACCTTCGAAGGTTGTGCATTCATTCTAAGCCAAAGCATTTAAAACAGGCAAAGTTGTTTTGTCCTCATGCAGGTTCTCTACTTTTCAGTTGCTCTCGAACAAGAGGATTTGAAGAAGACGAGCTGCTAAACGCCACATTTGTGATCCTCATCTTCAGACATCTAAAAGTTTTGGATTTAGGAAAAATTACAATAGCATCTGATTTTCCAAGCGAAATAGAACTGCTGATTCAGTTGGCATTCCTAGCAATGAAAGAGGCCAATTCAGTCGCATCCCATCATCTATCGCTAAACTCTGCAATTTGGAAAGCTTGATTGTAGATTCAAGATCACACGAGCCTTTGTTACCAAACAGTGTCTGGAACCTACAGAAGTTGAAGTATCTCCACATAAGGAATTATGGTGGTAGTTGTGGTATCTTTTCCCTTGAACCTCTTGAAGGCTTATCCATTTTGTATGAATTGGATAGGCTTTCTGGTGCACTTTTTACTTATGGGGATAACATGGAAAGGATCCTTAGAAACTTTCCAAATGCTCGCAGATTGAAGTTCCAAGTTTGTATATCCCAAAATGATGTGGAGAAACCTCGTAGTCCTTGATCTTTTGAGTCAACTATAATCACTTCATCTGTCACTTAATGTTGGATCAGCTGAGAATCCAAGTACATTGGATTTTAATTGGCCTGAAAATGTGAAGAAGCTGACATTATCAGGCTTTTCTTTGACTTGGAGGAACATTTCAACCATTGGTGAAATGCCAACCCTGGAAGTTCAAAAATTACTCCAGATGTCAATTGAAGGGAATGCGTGGGAAATCAAAGAAGGAGAATTCTCTAAGCTTAGAATCTTGAAAATGGTTTCCGGGGATCTTGTCAAGTGGACCGCTGATGATGATCTCTATTTGCAGAAGTTGGTACTGCATTGGTGCAACCATTTGGAAAAGATGCCTTCCTGTCTAGAGTGCATTCATACCCTTGAAATGATTGAGGTCCTTCGTTCATCTGAGACTGCAGTAAATCTGGTTAGACAAATTGAGGAAGAACAGAAGACGAACTGGGGGAATTCAAACCTGAAGATCATCATTAACCAGTGATTTAAATTCCAATATTCTATTCATCTGGAATCGCAGTTCACAGACGAATTTCTGAGGGAAAAAAAAGGATGAACTTGTGGCATGTTGCAACGGAGAGTCTTTCGCGAGATTTTTGTTGTGCAATTTCAGGCTGTTCGATTATTAGACTAGATTCTTGGATAATGCAAATTCATATAGGACCAGGAGAAAAATTATTCACTGTTAGATCATGCATGGTCCAAAAGTGATTGGTACGCAGTGTTAAGAAGAAACGCGAATGTGTGTAAACTGAGAGTTGCTAAATCATTAGACACCATCACCTTTACTTCAACAAAATGACACAAAAGATATTCTCCTTTCATTCTAAAATGAGCGTCCGGTTTGAATTCTTCAAATTTAATACCATAAAAATAAAATTCAAACAAGACAATCTATTTTAGGAACAAGGGAGTACTGAAATCCCTTTTACCCTATTAAAGTAGAAGACATGAAGCTTATGTGGCAACTAAGTATGCATCTGTTTTGGCTCCAATGCACCATATTTCAGATTTCAGGAGTCTTTTTGCCACGTGTAAGTCTCTTTTAATTAGAAGCTATATAATTTTTTTTTAAAAAAAAAACACATGTTTTACTACAAATAAGGATCAGTTACATTTCAAACGAATGGATATATTAATTCAAATTCAAATGTCCAATCGTATAGTTTTGCAGGTTTAATATAAACAAAAAATAAAAATACCTAAATCCAGCAATTAAGAATAATGCCTTATAAACTAATTATTTATTATTCCCTTATAACCTCAGATTTATAGGTATAATTTTTTAAGCCTCAAATCATAGCATAAATGATATATACGCCAAATGAATTCCTCAAAAAATAGTAATTCAATTAGATTTTAATAAAATAATAATTTAGAAGGGGCGCCCGGGCATCTGCCTGGGCCAAACATCTTGTTAGTATTAATGACACAAACAAATTAGTACTAATGACACACATCAGTTTGAAGTTTTTATTTAGGACAATGAATGAAGTAAAAAAGGCAAAGTTCCAAATAATTTAAACGCATAAAAAGATTGTAAAGTACTCCCTCCGTCTCAAAATTATTATCCAGTTTGGATTTTCATTTTTAGTTTAAATTGTACTAAAAGAGAAATTCCAAACTGGATAATAATTTTGGGACGGAAGGAGTAAATAAATGAAATATTCTCTCAAACACGATAACGTAAGATTGTTAAAAGATTAAATTGAAGAATCAAACACTTCTTGTTTGATCAAGATTTTATTCTCCTCCTCTGCCAGCCTCCTGTTTTGCAGCAGCTTCTTGCCTGGCTCTCTCCTCTTCCATTGAAACCCGGAGAGCCAGAGCCAATTCAGGATCCAAATTAGGATCCACATCAAATTCCAAACCCCCTAAACCGCCGCCTGACGAATACGCAGACGACGACGGCGCAGCTGCAAAGCCACTTCCACCCTCCCAATCATCACCACCGCCACCAACTAAGATCGGAGAACTTGCAAGAACCTCAGAAAGAGCACCAGGATAATAACCACCCAGAGGAACCAGAACAAAATGGCTGTTATCATTGTGGTCGGCTGCAGCTACCAAAGCCGAGAGCTTCTCGTTCTTCCCTTCATCTTCTTCACCGAAGCTGATCACATCAAGGGCCACCCCGTTTTTCTTCAGTTTCTTCCCGATCATCTCCAATTCCTCTGTTCTGTCATGAACAGAGCTCCCGGCGAATACAACGATCCGCTGCCGCTGATACCTGTTCTGACGATGTTTCAGAGGCAATTGCGCCACTTCAAGTCCTACAGCCAGGTTTATCTCGCCGCCGATTTCTACAGCGTGCATCCGGGCTAAAACGTCGGCGAGATCGTTGGTCGGAGTGATCAACACGCTGGCGCCTTTGCCGTTTCCGGCCATTGTCAACAATCCGACCGTATTCTCGGGATTAGACTCGAGTTTAGCAGAGCAGATAAGATTAATGGCTTCGGCTTGAGCTTCGAACCTTGACGGAGGATAATCTCCGTTCCGCATCGATTCGGAATTGTCTATGCAAATCATTGTTGCCTCCAGCACCATGGCTGCCTATTGGGACGGAACAAAGAAAGAAATAAAAAGAAGAGCTAATTATGTTTGAAAGAATAATTCGACCTTTGCTAACTTGCTTTAAATTTAGTGTAATAAAGTATACAAATACGAATATTGTTGCAGATTGAACAAACAACTGCTCTCTTCATAATATATAGGACCATGAAACCACCCAAAAAACGACTAAGAGTCGATACCCAAATCTCATTAGGAAACTGAAACGAAGTTTTTTGTTTAAAAAAAAAAAAAAAAAAAGAAAGAAAAAAAAGAAAAAATTTCCTTTTTGTTTGTAACGCGTTTGGGACAATTCTGTTCTCTATAAAGGTAATAACCATTAGCTTGTGAAATTGATGGAAGTGGTGAAAAGGGTGGTTTCTTCAGTGTTTATCATGTAGGACATGAGGGATTAAGGGTTGTTTGTGTAGACGAAAATGTTGGTAACTTCTTACACAATCTCGAAAACAAGGACCAAGCTTCTTGAGGAGACTTTGATGATGGATTTTCTTTGCTTTCATCATGTGCTGCTGTTTGTAACTTTTTCTAATCTATTGGAATAAGATAGACTTATATAATTAGATAACATTGTCTTCTTCAAACCTTTTAGCTGCATACATATTTGGTGTGTTGTAAATTAAACTTGGATCTTCTGAATCACTTAGTTCTTTTATTAGAGGGACCATAGGATTATAAATTTTAATGCTTACAATGTATTGCTAACGGTAGACGACCTGTAATATGGAAAAAAAAAAAATTAGTATTTTGAATTGGTGGCTCTTGATAGACTTTGTTGTCTAAAACAGTATTTTCAGTCCGAGGGAGTAGCGGGAAGATGTTCAGAGTGGAACATCGAAAAGGACGAACGAGAAAAATACTCCCTCTCATCCTTAGTACGAAATTAAAATGTCTTATATTAAAGACCGGAAAAAATACTTAATTTGGTGCTGCAATAACGGGGATACTTTGCAAATTCGGTTTTAACGAAATACTAGTACTCATGTGTATTGTGTACAGTTTAGTTTTTAATCAACAAGCTACTCACTTGGTGTCACTCCGACAAAGCGGACAATTAATGTGGGGACGGGATAAGTACTCCTGTAATTTAAAGAGCTTTTCCCTAACAAAATTATAACACAAACGAGAAGTAAAACACCAAAACAAGGTCTTTTTTTCCATTACCTGAATGATCTTTGATCCAAGAATTTTCAGTTCAACTAGCAAAATAAGTATTTATGTAATCAAAAAAATTGAAAGTAAATGGTTACTACAACGTGTGCAAAATAACTCAGCAATGCCTGATTATGGAGTCAAACGTAGTGGTAAATATTGAGTTCATACACTTAAAAGTTGATATCAATGAGACAATGATAAAGCTCTTGATCACTTCATTATTGTTTTCCCATGTTCTATGCAAATTAACACGGAGGGTAGACACTACTACTGCTAGCCTTAAGCAGTTTATACACAGTACACAGATAGCAACTACTAACTATCGTTCTGCATGTATTAATTTGTCTTATAAATTAAGACCAGAGTTTAATTTTAAAGATGGCTTCCATATGGTCAATAAAATCATGTCTTGAAGAAGTAAAATTACAGAGGAATTAAATTGTTTCATCATTGACAACAAAATTTTCAAAAAGTTCAATAAACTAAGAAATCTTTAAATAAAAAAGATCGATCAAAAAAAACAGAACTTGTTTGATGTAGGACGAATAAAAAATTACAGATGGTGTTATTCTGAAGCTCAATCAGATTCAGCCCTGTCGCGCAGCAGCTTCTTGCCTGGCCCGTTCCTCTTCCACTGAAAGTTGAAGAGCCAGAGCAAGTTCAGGATCCTCTTCATCATATTCCACGAACTCATCCCCACCGCCAACGCCTCCGGGTAATACAAAATCATCATCGGCAAATCCACGACCCCCGATAACATCATCAAATCCAAAATCCTCAGCACGACCGGCTACTATGCGTTGCGGCTCGTCCTCCTCCTCAAAATCATCATCCATGTGAAAAGCACCTCGCCGGCGGCGGACTAACGCAGAAGCGGCGGCGGCGGCGGCGCGTTTCCTACTCTCTCTATCACCATACCCACCGGAAAATATCCCGGTACTCACAAGCCCGTCACAGAGAGCGCCCCGACCCGGAGGAACGTGAATAAAATGGCTGTTACCACCGCCATTTATTCCGTCGTCGTTGGCAGCAGCCACTAAAGCAGAGAGCTTCTCAATCTTCGATTCATCACCTTCACCGAAGCTGATTACGTCGAGGGCAATCCCTTTATTCTTCAAATTCGTTCCGACCGTCACCAAATCCTTTTTCATGTCATGAACATGGCTCCCGGCAAAAGCAATGATTCGCCGACGGAGATTCTTGTTCTGATTCAGGGGCAATTGGGCCACATCGAGCCCGGTTGCCAATTCCATCCGGCCACCAATTTCCGCATCCCGCAACCGGGTCGAGAGTTCGGTAAGATCGTTGGTCGGATTAACCAGCAATTTAACGCCGCCCCGATTGCTGCCCATCGTCAATAATCCCAATTGGTGCCCAGAATCGGCCGAGAATTTCGAATCGGATATAAGGTCAATTGTGTCGGCTTGAGCGTTAAACCTTGACGGAGCATAATCGGTCATCCGCATCGGTTCGGAAGTGTCAATGCAGATCATTGTAACTTCGGGCACCATGGCCGCCATGGCTGCCGGAGAGAAAGGAAGAAAGACGGTTTTTTAAAGTTGAAAGACTGATTCGAATTTTGCTTCTTGCTGGAATATTGGAAGCCTGAAAAACAGAGTAGGTTTTTAAAAGGGGGAGGATTTTTCCAGCCAACCCCTTTACTACTTGGAGCCACCATTTTTTCAAAATGACCATTTTGCCTCTATCATTTAACAATATTTATATTTTAGTGGTTAAACTCTCGATTTTATATTTATTTGAAAATAAACAAGTAATTAATTTTAACTTGAAAATAAATTTAAGATTATTCGTTAAGTTAATTTAATTGAATTGATATTAAAATATAAATTTTACTTCAATCATTATTTTAAAGATAATTTTTAGTTAAAATAATAATTATACATTTATAATGAAAAATTATAATTGTACTACAAAGATTGTGATAAATATGTGCAAATAGATTAACTATTTTTTGTACTACAAAGATTGGTGATACTTAATGTAACTCAAATAATAAATTATTTATAAATTTAATGACCTAAACACTAGATTAACTACTTACAAAAAAATCTAAAATTTTAAAAAAATTTTAAAAAAATTTGAAAATTAAAAAAAAAAAATCGGCAGACCAGGCAGTCCACCCGAGATTTTTTTTTGTAATTAGTTAATCTAGTTTTCAGGTCATTAAATTTATAAATAATTTATTATTCGAGTTATTTTAGTCAAGTTATTTGATTTGAAAAAATGACAGGGGTAAAATGGTCTAAATTTGAAAAAATGTGATAAATCAAGTTATTTGATTTATCCAAGTAGTAATCTTGGTGGCTTGAACAATAAACACCCTAAACTTTAAAAGAACAATGTATGGAACGAGAAATTATTCAGCGCAGCCAGACACAATAATAGGGTAAATTAGTAATTTTAGGGAAAGAGATATAATTTCTACAAGAGTTATACCACCAATATAAGGGCGTCCTAATGGCAAATAATATCAAACTCCTAAGTATACCTTGCACCGTATACCTAGGAGGTGCATGTGTTTTAATTTTGACAAAAAAACGTAGGGAATTTCCTCCTATTTTCACGTCTCCACTTGCGTATTTAAACTCTCATAAATTAAGCCATCCACGTGCATTTTTGATTAATTAAACACATGATTCTTATCTTTTTTTTTTCAGCACACATTTAAATTCAAATCTTTTTTTTTGCCTTATCCCGTTCTTTTTTTATTCAATTTATTTCATTCGATTTTTTTTTATTAGTTATTGTTGTATCTTCATCTAATTTTTTTTTCTGCTATTCAGTTCTATTTAAATTCGATGATATAAATTATACTAAATTCAATTTTCGATTTTGAAATTGATGACATATAAAATATTTATCAAAGTTGGTAAAATTGAATATGAAAGATTTAATTGATAACAATGTTTGTTTGGATGAATAATGGTATGCTTATTGACAAATAATGATAATATTGTTGATGAATAATGGTGTTTTTACAGTGTCAAAGTTATGGATGAGTAAATTTAACTTTTGAAATGAATAATGATATTCACAAGATGAATAGCAGTGCAAATCTTGATGAATAATGTCCCTTTCCAAGATGAATAATACTACTTAAATGAAGAATATATGTAGTTTTACTAGATGAATAATTATACTTTAATGAATGAATAGTATATCATTAGAAGATGAATAACGGACAACAGAATGAATAACTTTGATCTAGAAAATTAACAAGAGTATATTTTACAATGTGTTAATGTCAGCAACTAAACCCATAAACTTCTAATTATGTATTATACTAGATTAAAATTGAACAAAAAAAAAACACTAGTCATTTTTTTTTAATATATAAGGTCTTGAAAGATTCGTCGATACTCGATACGTTCATGTTGATTATTTGATTTCAGCAATTTTGCCAAATATTTGATTCCCAACAGATCGAGTTCATTTTGTTGAGCATTTTTTGCCACTGATCAAACAAAGTGAACATCTAACATGTAACATATTCCATACCAAACATCTACAAAACACATATTAAATGATGAATAATTATAATCATAGAAAATCAATTTCATTAAAAAAATCTACATAAATTTAACACAAAGTATATGATGAATAACAATAGTATTGAAAATGAATAATCATATCGAAAATGATGAATAAACATTAGAACTATATAAATCTAATTTAGCTAATAATAGTCATGTATGGACCCATATTATATGATGAATAACAAAATCACTGGGGATGAATGATATATTTTTGCATGATGAATACACATGTATACGGAATGAATAACACATGTTCAAATAATGAATAACATATATTGACGGGATGAATAACTCTATTTTACAGGATTGATGACGCATATTTACAATCGCGTCAATCACATTTTACTTGATCAATAACAATTGGTGCACAACCATATATAAACGAATGCAGGAACCTTAGATTTACGTATTGCAAGGATGAATATTGAATACATACTAATGAATAACGCCCAGATCTATTAGTATTTTCCAAACCCACAACAAATACGATGAAGAAATCTTAAAAATTAATGAGCAAAGATCTTTAATCGAATGCATATACCTTAGATCTACAAAACCCATCCAAAAAATGCAGGAAAATACATGCTGCAGTAAATGATAAATAACAAAGAATATTTGATGAACATGTACAATGTAGTTGATGAACAACAACTAAAATAATGAATATCAACAAATAAAATAATGAATAACAATCGTATAATACAATTATTATGATGAATAACCCGTTAATATCGATTAATAATGGTTGGGTAAATGATGATTATCGAAACTTTGGAAAACCCTTCCCACTCAACAACTAATGGATGAACAAATCTGACTAGTTGGTGCACAACCTTAAATAACAAATGCAGGAACCTTAGATCTACGTATTACAAAGATGAATATTGAATACGGACTAATGAATAACGCCCAAATCTATTAATATTTTTCACAACCATAACAAATATGATGAAAACATCTTTAAAATTGATAAACAAAGATCTTTAATTGAATGCATGTACCTTATATCTACAAAACCGATCTAAAAAATGCATCGATTTTTTAATAGATAAATAGTATTACCTTCTTTCATCTTCATTTTCCGAAAAGCTTCTATCAGATTCAAGATTCACTATCGTTGCACTCTACATGGATGATTCAGTATTAAAAAAAAAACCCCTTCTTATAACTAGATCGATGGAGAAAACACATAAAACTGATAAATTTTGTTCATATATTACCTTAAATCGCATCTTGAACAGAGTATAATTCCACAATTTCTATTAGATTTGATGCACAATCTGATTCCGTCTTGAAAAATCCAGCCGACGAGAGGTTTTCTGGCCAAATATCGCCGCAGAGAAAATTTAGTTTTTTAGTTTTTTTTTAGACGGATTGTGATGAATGGGTGGAAGATAGATATGGTAATCGCTGAAAATTAGGAGGAAATAGGGGAATTTGAAATTCCAAAAATCACACAAAAAGGGAAATTAAATGGGCGCGTGTATACACTTGTTGTAAATATTGGGAGATACTCATTTTTTGGTCGCGTGAGACTCACACTTGTTGTAAATATTGAGTGTTAATACCTGCTGTACTAAAAATCAGGATACAACAGTTATACCCAATAATTTTTCGGTTGGAACTCCTTTATAGACCATGATAAACCTACCAAAGAACCAGTAGGATTCGGTCTTTGAATCTAGTTAGGAAACTCAAAATTACACGACAAGTAATTACTAAATAGTCCCTTCAATTGTTTGGACAGACAAAATACTACTACTACATTCCGATTTCTATGGAATTCGGATTGGGGATGGAGGCAAAATCTTGTGTAAATGAACATATGTTATTATATTATTGTTTGAGTAAAATATTCCAATAGGAGAGAGAGGAATCGATCAATAATTGAATATTTTGTTTTCATACGCAATTAAATAAAATAATTGGAAATGTATGTATATGGAACCCTTGGAGGCGAGGGGGAAGCGTAAGAGGGAAAATAGTTAAAGCGGATTTTTTCTTTGGTTGCGATTTAGGTTTTTAAATAAGGGTTTATTTTTCCAAACGGATAAAGACATCGGTCATTCTACTCGACAATGAAATTTGCACATGAAAATATGAAATTGTGTACCCTTTTATTTTAGTTACTCCCTCTGTCCCAAAATTATTGTCCAATTTAACATTTCACTTTTAGTACAATTTAAACTAAAAATGAAAACTCAAACTAGATAATAATTATGGGACGGAGGAAGTATTATATATTCTCATAATAAAATTGCTGATTTAATTTCTTCTAAGAATCCATAGTTTTGTACGCATTCGGTTCTTCTTTTCTCTTAGTTTGGTCTTAAATAAGTTGATTGGTTTTTTTGAAAAAAAAAAAGAAAAAAAAATTGTTTCCACGTAGACTAGACCTCTTGATGAATCAAAGAAAAAACACTTGTTTTTTTTTTTTTAATTTTGTTTCGAACTCCAGAAATTATTGGGTGGTTTCACTATTGAATTAGTTGACCTATTTGACCTTTAAACTCTAGGTAATGAAGTAATTGAGCTTTTAGCCTTTAACATCGTATATTAGGATGATCAGATTATAACTTCACTTGTTGATCGGTTTGCAAAAACATACTCAGTCTTGTGTAAGAAAGAAAAATATTAATCTAACCCATTGTATATGTTTTAATTGAAGGGAGTTGAATATTTCTTTTGCAGCTTAATAACGCAGTTCCCACTGCACTTAATTACTTGTCAAGTTGTCATGCTTCTCTTCTTCCTTCTCTCCGCATAACAAGCATAACGACCAAAGTATTCAACAATTAAAATTCCTTCCATTCCATGTTTCTAATACGGCGTTCTTTTGGGGGAAATTTTCGTTTTTTTTTTTTAAAAAAGGAAATCTATATGTTGCCATTCAATTTATTAATACATCCGTCCCAAAAAAATTAGTCTATTTTGAACTTTGAATTTTGTACTATTCTTAATACAAATTCGAAAACTCGATGTGGACTATTTTTTCTTTGAGTCGGAGAGAGTATTTTTTTTTTATTTTGAGATAATGCGACTCGGGGAAAACTTGCCAACCATTAGTAGTTCTGGTTTCTTGACGTCTCTGGCTGGCTCTCATGATTGATTTTCATAGTGTTTGCAGTAACTTACCTTCTATAAATTAGTTAACTTTCTCCAATGCCAGCTTGTATATCTGCACTAGTCTAGCAAAAATTCCAGAGAACGATAATGTATAATTCCATAAGCAGTATTTTTATGTGATCAAAAACTAAAATTAAATCGTACAACACTGTGCAAACATACTCAACAATGCCTGCTCATGAAGACCGGCAATAACCAAATCAACATAATGCAGGTATATATTTTTGCTGGTTTCCATCTCCTTCACAAGTGTTTTCACCACCTCCCCACCAAAATTTCTAAATATTGCTGGTTTGATGAATGCTAACCGGTACTTGACTACTAAGCATCCATTACATTTTGCCTACTCTTGATCAAATCCTTCAAAGAAAGGAAGCATGGTACATGGAGAATCGCATTGCCACTGCGAGGAGGATCATCGACTGAAATACTGACCTTAGTGAAACTCTTTTTTTCTGTATCATATGAAACCAAGTTACTATAGCCACCACACAAGAGTATTTCTTGACCCTTCCAGAAAAGAACAGGATTAGGGTAATTTGGCTGGTACAGGTTACGGCTAATAGCAATAGTCTCCTTAGTCCATGATTTCAACGCTCCATATTCCTTCATCCACCAGATATCCAACTCAAAACAGCTAGACAATTGACAGATACAAAGACACCCCTTCAAAACCGCCAAAGCGTTGTGGCGAGTTCTTATAAACTCTCCAAGCGGTTGTGGAACCGGATGCAACTTTTCTTCGCCAATGTCGAAAGAAAAGAGGCGGTTTCCCAAATACGAATTTTCGGATATCCAATGAAGAGCACCATTAAGGTTCACTTCACAAATCCGCCATTCCTCGCCACCGGGTAAAGGGATGGTTTGGTTTAGAACCCTCCAACCTTTATCGGTGCCAACCGTGCAAATGGAAGCTTCATTTCTTCCAAGACTCCAATTATTCCTAGTAAAAATCCTAACCACTTTATACTCTTTAGTTATCTCACTAAACTCAAATAGCAAAGCGCCCCATTCGACATTTGTCACCAATTTTGGCTCAGGAAGCAGAGCACATTCCCCTGTCACCATATGCTCAGATCAAAACAATGCCTGATACAGAGTAACCCATGACTAGCACCGGCAACATATTCCCACCCACTAGGCAACAGATTTGGTTTTTGTAAAATCCTAGGACGATTTAACTCCAGAGTAAAATCAACATCAGGTTTCAATTCGTGGAAACTAAAATCATGACCATCAGAAAACGTAACAACATTAACGAAGGGAGGGTTTTTCATATAAACCTTACCGAACTCAGGGTTTGAAATGTATTCGTACCAGATCTTGCAAGCGCACTTACAGGCCAAAACTGTTGTGGCTGGAAGCCTTGAAAGAATCTCAACCATTGTGGCAAAAGGAAGACCCATAATCGAGGTTGGATTATTGGAAGCACCAGCATTTCTTCCTGTATTGGACAACTTCTTTAACCTTTTTTGCCGCTATCGTTACACCCATTGGTGTCGACTGACCGCCTGTATTGGACAACTTCTTTAACCTTTTTTGCCGCTATCGTTACACCCATTGGTGTCGACTGACCGCTGACTAATCCGGACTCGAGGCGGGTAGGTCCCTTTCGGAAGGCAACCTCTACCAATCAGCCCTTTTAAGGCGATTGCATATACAGGGTCTCGAACCCGAGACCTCTATTTAAGCTGGATCAGCACCCTGCCAATTGATCTAAGAGCTGGTTGGTTTGGAGAACTTCATTTCTGGAGAGTACTGTGTGAAACTGCGAACTCAATTGGGATTTCTGGGGTTTTGTGAAGAAGAAAGGGGCGGATATAATTAGAAAAGGAAAAAAAAAAAAAAGGTAATGCAAGAGGAACTTATTGGGCTTGATTATTGGGCCATCAGCTGTCCAGCACATGGTGTCATCATGGGCTTCCGGAAATAAATCAAAATAAAATTGGCATTATTTCTTACATTTATTAGAATTTTAAGTGTCTAGATAATCAATCAGAAAACCTACGGATCAAATGTGTTTTTTGATTCACAAAAGAAGCTTCTTTATGTAGATGGATCAATCATCAAGCCACATCAGCATAAGAACACACAATCATTTTGAATTCTTTTGAGGACACGAAGAAATACTCATCTGACCTAATAAAATGAGCAATTAAATAAGTGTCTTGTTTTGGTTCTTATTTTTAGTATAATTTCTACTTTTCTTGTCTCAGAATCATTGTCCGGTTTGAATTTTCAATTTTAATGCAATCTGAACTAAAAATGAAATTTAAACTGGACAATAATTTCAGGACAGATGTAATATTAAAAACAATTATCTATGCTTAATGACAATCAACTCGTTCCAGAGGCTTGAATCACTAGGGCAATAATCAAAGGTGAGGGACCAAGAGGCCAAGTTTAACTATAACTCAACTCCGCATAATTCAATTCCTAACAGATTTGATGGCATCACTGGTACACACTCATAGCTCCAAGGAATAGAAATCTATTGCAGGTCATTATACATTGTGGGATTGGATACCTTCCCTATGTACCCATGTAATATTTCTAGAGAATTTGCATTTTTCATTGTACCAAAAAATAAAACACTATATGAATGAAACCATTAATAATAGGGTCGAATTGTTAAGCGCCCTTATTTTTTCATTTGAGCGCCCTCCGAAAGACTGATACGTCTCTGCAGATGGAGGTATGTTTTTTTTTTTCAAAAAAAAAAAGGAGAAAGGGGGGCGAGGGAGGAATGAGCCAGCCGTTAACGGTGCGCAGGAGGAACATAGGGGTGGCGTGGAATAAACTCGCCTCCTACGAGACAACCTTCGCCTTAGGCGAAGGAGGTGGTGCCAGATTTGGCGCTTTACTCGCCAACCACCCGATGGGTGGCGCCCGTGCCACCCATTTTTTTTAATTTAATTAATTTTTTTAATAATTTTTTAATATATTTAATTAACATAATTTATTTATTTAAATTATTAGTTTAGTAAATTTATTTAATTCATGTATTTATTTTATTTGAGTATTTATTTGGTAGTTTAATATTTGTTTAGAAAATTAAGATTTATGCTAATTAGGATTTATGATATTGGTTTATAAAAAATATTAAACTTAAATATTTAGAGAATGTTTTTTAATTAAGTATTTTGTTTATAGGTTGTAGTTGTTATATTAAATGAGTTAATTTTTTTGTTAATTATGTGTTTAGATTTGTTATATATTTTAATTATATTAGTTACGTAGTATGTTCGTATGAAATAGTTTGTTTCTTGTTAAATGGGTATTTAGGTAGTATGTTCATGGATTTAGGGTTTTTGTTAAAATAATGAGTTTTTGTTAATAATGTATTTAGTTTGTTATTTGTATATATTAATTATCTTTAAAGTATAAGATCATTATATCGGATTATATATTTTGTTTTTGCTCATAACAAATTATTTGTGGTTTAATATTATTAGAGTTAATTTAAGTTATGATATAATTCATTTTTAATGTGTGCAATATAGGTTTGATTAGGGGGATGGAGTCGATTATAGTTCGGCTTTTGCTACAGACGAGACTTTTGCCACGAACCGTGAAACTGTTGCATATGCGAAGGGCATTGCGAATATCTACAACATGGAGTTAAGTTTATCCTCGCACAAGGATAACAGTACTATACTTCTTTGTCGAAAAGGAGGCCGGTACCAAGGTCAACAGGTGGATGAAAACGTGCGCACTCGACTCAATACAAAGACACAGATGACCGGATGCCTGTTTCGCATTACTATTTACAAAATATATGATAGATGAGTGATTCGTGTATATCCCGGTCCGTGGGGAATGCACAACCATTCATTGAAAGATCCGCCTCAAGTCAGGAGGCCATTGAGTGCAGAAGTGAAAGAGCTTATTCAGGAGTACTCTAAAGCTGGGACTAAGGCAGTCCACATTTTACGGGCGATATGGACACAATTTTCTAATGAAAAGGTTACCTCCAAACAAGTCTACAACTACAGAAATCAATTGCGTAAGGAGGAGTTTCCAATTCTAGATGACATGGCTTCTATGGATGTCGTAGGAAAGGTGTTAGAGGTCGTAGAACAACACAAATACATCATCTCACGGAGTGCGATAAAGAGACACAGAGGTTATCCCCCGTGTTTTTCGCACATACGGATTCTTTGTTGCTGTTGCGGACGTATCCTTGGGTTGTTTGTGTAGATTCCACATACAACACAAACAAATATAAAATGCCTCTTGTGGAGTTTGTTGGAATGACCCCTTGCAATTAGACCTTCCTTATAGCATATGCTCTTCTGAGTGATGAGACGGGGACAGCTACCATTGGGCGATGTGGCAGCTCCGTAATTTGTATGGTGATGATCTGCATCGGAGTGTCATCGTGACTAATCGGGAGCCTGGACTGATGAGATCTCTTGATGATGTATTTCCATCATCACATCACTTATTGTGTACGTGGCACGTTTACAGGGATGTTGGAAAAAATGTGAAAAGAATTTTAAACAGAAATTCGAACATAGCAAAAAGTTTCACGTACAAGGCTTTAAAACAGTGATCGAAGCTGCAAATCGGGAAGATTACGAAGAAAAAATGAAGTTTCTGGGGCATAATTGGTCCCAATGGAGGAGGTACGATTATAATTTATATTGTTATTAAATACTGATATGTAATCCAGAAATAATGATATTATTTCACTTGGTTAAAGATGTGATGCAGACAGACTTTTTCAAGTTTAGGCATAAGAATAAGATTCCGCAGATACTGCACAATCATATCTTGATGTCGCTCCTGAGGGCAATTGTGGTTTTCGCGTCTTTGCGAGTTGCATGTTTGGAGGGCAGAAGAATCATGTTTTGTGCAGACAGATAGTGTATGATGAGGTTATAAATAACCCTGGGCTGTACGGGAACCTTTACGAGTATGAAGTGTTTTATTTTGTGAGCGGTTTTAATACACTTGCATCAATGTTGTTTTATTTAAAACTGTCCTTTACTTGTCTTTGTAGGTGGGATAAATTACCCCAAAGCCTAGAGCGTATATGGTGGACTGGTATAAGCGATGGTTACTGGATGTCAACAGAGGACTTTCATCCCCTTGGTACATATTTCAATGCTGTTGTGTACTACTTCAGAACAGTGAATACTGTAAATCTCAACGGCACATGTTGGACTGTGCTACCACTGATCGCACGGGGCAGGGCAACAAGACCAGAGTTCCAGATAATTATATGCCACCTTGAGCCTTACTAGCACTTCATTCGACTCAATATACAAGGTGATTTTTCGATTCCACGAATTCACCACATTTAGTATCACAATTGTGATAGTAGTGTTATTGGTTGGGAAGTACCTCTGGAACCCATAATGCAGCTATGACGTACTTTGGTCCCACGGGATCGCCCGATAAGACCCACACGGGAAATTTATGATCTCGGGTGATATGTTGTTTTTTTTTTTTTTTGAAAATGGTGAAATTTCTTACACATTTTATGATCTCTTTTTATTCGACGGCCAATGAAAATAAAATCGAAAATCAAAATAAGTCCATAATGTTCACAAAAACAAAATCGTAACATAAATGAAAAAAAAAAGCACTTAGTCGAATGTCATGGGGCTTAACTGTGACAGAAGATGACATCATCCAGGCGAGTATCCCACTCCTCACCAAGACCCAGATCGAGTTTCTTCAAATCTTCGATACAACCTCGAGTCAACCTCTCCATATCACGCATTCACTACAAATATTAAATAAAATCATATTAAACCCTTCAAGATAGTACGTGTGTTATTAAAATAAAATTCCAATTAGTGTTGAACTTACGTAAGTGGTGCAGTTCTTAGCTGGGATGCGTGACGTAGACGGGACAGACGTCGCCAGTAGGAATGGATGTGAATGGCTCCTGTACCAATCAAGGTAATCTACAACTGCCTGTCCTACCTCAGTAGACCCAGAAGGCATACAATGACTAAGGCAGATGCAGGTCTCGGAACTCGGACAATCAATAAAATACTTGTGCGCATTTTTCCCGCGAAACTGAGTTACTGGCGTGAGCGGCGCGCGAGGTATATACTGCACGTAACCGAGCTGGCGTAGCACTCTCTCCGGCATGTATGGCTCCTGGAAGTCATGGTGCATAATCCACCCACTAAAGATGGTCCTCGGATATGCGGCCGCCTGTTCGCGACTGAATGGCTCCCATTCGACCTGCGAACGTTACCAAAATTTATTATAGTGCATACAATGAAATACCCCTTACGCAATACACAAAAATAAAATAGAAAGACTACCTCTTGCTCAGTCATCGCATCGAGTTACGCACGAATCTGATGGAGTCGACTCTGAATAGGCTTCGGGCCCTTATAGCTAACTGGTGTCCAGTCTCGAACTCTGGGCCAACCATCAACACCTCGACGTCCCCGCCTCTTCAAGGGTTAGAAGCATGGAAAATACTCATATATCCATGCTTGGAGAAGGGTCATACAACTAGCCATTGTGGTACACCCTGCTCGACTAGCAATCCCAAGCTGACGGTAGAGGAATGCTAGTGTACCGGATCCCCAGGAGTAAGCTTCAATATTTTTGATACCTCCGTGGAGCTCGTTCATAAGCGAAGAACTAATCCTGCCCCCACTCCTGTCAAGGAAGAGTGTCGAGGCTAACAAGATCCTCACCCAAACTTGAACCTGAACAGCGGGGAAGACGCTCCGACAACACTCCTCGATCAAATGTCACTCACACCTCCGTGGCTCCATGCACGCTTTAAGTTAGCCACTGGCAACCCAAACAATCC